GATGGCCCGGGTCTCGATGGCACGGGGGAGACGTTCTGGGGTCAGGCCAAGTTGTTCCACCAGAGCCGGGTCCATGAGGTTACCCCCAGCACCGGAGTCCAGGAGGTCTTGGTGGGAGGATGTCCGACTGGCCGTCTCCAGTTGCACGGGGAGGAGGCAACTGGCAAGGATGAGAATCAAATCAGATTTTCCTCTTGCAAATCTGTTCCTGTGCTCTCAAAGTCTGATTTGCAAACTGAAGAGCACACGCAACTTGTTTTGTGTGCTTTCAAAACTTTTGGCCCAGACAGACATTCACACAAAACCCAGTGGTGAAATCTGAGAGCACAGAATCAGAAAGGAGAGCACACATAGCCTGGATTACGCTCTCAAATCTCTATTTGCGCTTACAAATCTGTGTCTGTGCGCTCTCAAATGTGGAGTTGCAAACTGAGTAGCACTTGAAATGTGGTTAGAGCATTATAGTAAGGATCTACTTCCATACAATTTGCTCAATACTGCCCCTGAGTGGTGGACACCAAGTTCAACTGGTCCACTAGCCTACTGAGAACCAGACCACTGGTTGCATGGCCACCAAAAGAGAAATTCACTCCTGCCGAGGCGGTAGCCTGCTAAAACACTGATGTTCCACTGTGAGTGTGACTTGTTTTATTTACAAGATCCAGCTGCTGCATTAGCTTTTATATACATTATACAAAAAAGCTGATTTATTATTTACTGAGGGGCATTTTTAAAAAAATCTTTTCTCTTCATTATTTTTTAATATTGTGATAAATATTATATTGTATACTTTTTATGGTGGTAATATCATAGCATGAGCTTTTGGTATTGTTACATCCCCACTCATGAGCCCACCTGCTTATCACACACCAAGGATGAGAAACTCTGGTCTAACTGTTGTTCTTGTCTATTGTTCAGCAAAAAGAAAAACATATCATGCCAAAGCATGTGCAGCTTTGCTCAATAGAAGACATAACAGTAAGTTGTGAGTCACTCTATCTGTACTACTGGCAGCTTTATAAATCTTTATGTCTACTGTAACAGCAGAAACTGAACATAATAATACTGTGGTTGCTCTTTTGTCTGCTTTATGATTTCACTCAATTAAAAATTTTAGAGAACTCATAATGATTTGTATTCAATGATCTTGGACTGTGTGGAATAGTGCTTTGGTCTGATGTGCAAAAAGCATAGAAGTTATTATTTTGCCATACTCTAGGAGCATCCTGCTCCAAAATTAATTGCTGTAATGTATCCTCATGGTTTGATGTGTAACTGTGCAACACTCAAGAGACATGCATTATTTGCTGCAGATGTACAATAAGGCCATATGGCATCCTCATCCCCTGCTGCCTCATCGTAACTATACTGTAAAATTGTAGATGGCTTTACCAGATAGTAGCCATTCATTAACATTACCATGTAGAATGGAACATGTTATGAAATTCACATGACTTTTCCCAGCACCATAGTTAATGGACTAGAAGACCCTAGAAAGCCACTTTTTCAGACTTTATAACAAAGGTGACTTTTTTGTGTTTATATCCACCTTAGCTGTGCGAGTGTTGAAAGACATGCTATTATCTGTGCAGTGGGTTCCCTACCTGACAACCCATACAAACCTTCACAAGGGGATGTGTTTTATAGCTGTACCTTATGACAGTCCGCTGCCATTTCAGACAGCTGTCGACTTGACCTCCACCGCTGCCTCATAATGAAATGGTTACAGGATCCATTTGTTGTCACTGCACCATTTGTCAAGACTTAGAGAAGTAGTTCTGGAAATGAAGCAGAAGGGTCTTGACAGTGGCGTCACCTTGATGCCAGTACGGTCAGACTGAAATAAACCAAAACCGGCCTTCCAGGTGGTCTAGTCAACAATCGTCTCCACTTTTACAGCTCTAAAAGTTTACAGGTCACATGTCAAACAAATTTGAAAGATGTACAAAATTAAATCTGGAAAACTATCATTGATAAGTATATATACTGCAATATAAACACTGGTGGTGACAGAGATGTCCTGTAAGGCCCTTAACAAAAATCAGCTAATAAAGATTGTTGCAGTCATGTAATGATCTAACTAGTAATTCACACCGTTGAAGATCTACTCCAGCCTCTACATTTTTGTGAGTATTTCTGCTACTAACAGTACAATATATGGTGACCTGTGCCTGAATTGTGTGGCACAACACTTTTCTGTTTTTATGTGAATCAGTGCTCCAGAAAATTAACAATTTTATTCAGAAGTAGTCAAAAGGCATTAGTTGGAATGGACCCTATAGTTCAGAGAGTTAACTCTTACTTTTCTGAAGTCTCAACATGTGCCAATCACTCACTGCTCCCCTCAAAGTATCTGCCTCTTAGAGTGCATATGACAGAAGCTGCCAGAGGACTCCCATTTATAGAATTATGCATTATCAACAGATTAAATTTGACATTCACAACAGTACTCAACACTACTGTTGAACTTTAATTAAGTTCTTCAACATAACTTCAGTTTCCAGCATCATTCTGACAACATGACCACCCTGCTAAAGAAAAGTAGTTGCTTAGTAACTTTAACTAAATCTTTTTCTCAGTAACTGTAACTGATTACAATTATCTTTACTTTGTAATTTAATTACAGGAACTAGTTAAATGTACTGTAACTAGATACTCCCCAACACTGGTGGCATGTAATGAAAAATTATTTCCACTGTTGCAGCAGAACCTACAGTATCAGGACTGGATGTTACTTGGCGAGGGGGTTGTTGGAAAAAATAAGATGTAACAGAAAAATCTGTGCATGATGAAAATACATTTGTGTGTTCCCCAGACAATGGAAGAAATCTTTTTTTCAAATAACAAAGACAAAATTTTTTTGTACTTCTAGAGTGCTAGTCTATATATACTGCATACACCAATCAAAGACTGAATAGACATGCTAAAATGGAACAACGTGATTACAAATTTTAAGCATAAAGAGTTATATTCTCATGCAATGCTTTAATCAGCCTTTTCACATGATGAGAATCTACCGGATATGACAGGATGACTCAGTGCTATTATTTCTTTGCACTAATAGCCTTCAATGATGGAAGCAGAAGAACAGGATGAGGAGAGAGAGAGCAGGATATTCTGACGTGATTTAGTCGGCTGGTTGTCCCAGCTGGAGGAAAGGAGAAAACAGTGTTACTGATGAGGCCATTTTCAAGCAACACTGATGGTTAAAGGAGGAAAACACTGCAGCTGTCATAACAAGCACATATTGTACATGATGTTGCACTTGTGTATGCACAAAAAAACCTTTGCTTATTTAGTCTTCATGAGGGACATCGCTAAAGCAGCTTATGACAACATGTGAGGGACACCATAACAGGCATCAGTGCTCTTCTAAGCCTTCATGGATAGTAGAGAGATACAGACATGATGTTGATTAGTTAGCTGCAAATTTGGCAGGTTGTTGACAACCTCTATGAAATGGACAATTAGGCATCAGAATCACTACAGTAGTACACACCAAGACTCAAACATGGCAGTTAATCAAAAACAAACCCCACTAATCACAGAAACCCTCAGCCATCCCATAGTAAACCAACAATGACAAACTAGTGCTGAGCAACAAAAGCCCAAATGAATATGCATGTATCATCTGCTGCAGCACATTCAAAAAGAACAGCCAGTGTTGTTTTTATCAAGACTTACCTCAGCTTCATAGAGCTTTATAGCCCATTGTGACTTTGGTCATCTGCATCTGCAACAGGCAGCTGTTATCAGAATCAGAATCAGTTTATTCAGCCAGCCAATTGGTTTTGGCTTACAACAGCTAATAAATTCTAAATTAATTATGCAAATTTATGTAATAAAATAATAATTAGAAGAAATAAAGGGTAGGAATATATCAAAAATAGTTATGCTTTTTATAAAGTGAGACAGTGATGTTTGTTTTTAAAACAAATATTGTGCTTTTTTAAAACTTTACTAGGTTTAGCTAAACACTTTATTTAATGCTTATTATGAATATTTCTAATCAAGAACCTAAAAGCTTTTGACTGAAGGTCGTAGTCATAAATAACATTTTTATTTGTTGTATTGAAAAATAAAACAATATGCCAATATGTACAGAAGACAGTTCAGGTGGAAACTGTTAGTTTTACAGTGAAGGCCCATCTGTTACAGTCTTATGCAAAACAAGGAACACATTGCATGTGACTTTAGTCAGGTACCTTTGGGAGCTACTGCCAAATCACTGCATCCCACCCTTTATCTCTGCCCCTGCACACAGACTATCTGTGTCTCAACAAATAATATATACACAAATTACTTATTATAAAATGTAGAAAAATTGCATATAAAACATTTTTAATCCACATTTCACAAATATTGTGTTAACACAGTGGTGCTCAGTTTGGCAGAGTAAACGTTGTGGTCATGTGCAGACTGAGCCATGGCAAGAAAAACAGACACACACTTGTACATTTATAACGGGTCCCCATTTAAACTCTGTGCCCTATGATAACACAGCATTAATCTCTTAATCAAATTGTAATCTACTCCTTTGACCTCAGAGGGAAAAACTGTATATTTGTTTAATTTTGTGTAAGTGATTTTCTGAAAGAGACTGCACACTAACCTACCGGTAGATGTTCTAGATGTACTGTAGGTAGCTCTAAGGAAAATCTACTGAAAAGACAAATGATTGATCTTGTACTGACATGTAGACAAAGGCATGTTCTTGTTCAAAATTATATTACTATAATAACATCAAGGTTGCTTATTCTTGCAAAGCAAATCACATACAAAGCTGTGATTTTACTCAGTTGAGAGGAGCTCAGCTGCTTAGGACACTAATCTACAGTGTTTTTTCAAAAACTACAACCCCCAATCAGAAGAAGTTGGGACAGTATGTGAAGTCTAAATTAAAGCTGAAAACAGTGATGTGTAAATGATCTGTGTTCTGTATTACACTGAAAACAATACAGCAGCGTATTATTTGATGTGATTTTATTCTTTGTTTAGAATAAACACTCACTCCAATTATGATGCCTGCAACACATTCAAAAAAAAGGTTGGGACAGTAAAGTGTTTACCACGGTGTGACGTTGCCGTTCCTTTTCACAACACTTAAAAGACATTTATGGACTGAGGACACCAAATGATTAATTAAGTGTGGCAGATGTCATTTTGTCTCATTCTTCCTGCAAACAAGTCTTAAGGTGCACAACAGTCCTGGGTCTTCGTTGACACAATTTGATTCAAAATGCGCCACATATTCTCTACTGCAGGGAGGCCAGTCCAGCACTTACACCCTTTTCCTCCACAGCCAGGCCTTGGTAATGTGCAATATGAGGCTTTGCATTGTCTTGTTGAAATATCCAAGGACGTCCCTGGAAAAAATGCCGTATTAAAGGCAGCATAGGTTGCTCCAAAACCTCTTTGTATTTTTCAGCATTAATGGAGCCATCACAGAAGTGTAAGTTACCTTTCCTTAAATCTTTTAATTATATCATGCACCATAAAGGGTGACATATCCAAGTCCCTTCCTATTTTCCTTTTGAGGAGCATTGTTTTTTTAACATTTCAATGATTTGCTCACACATATGTTGGCAAACTGGCTGGCTTTGGCCCATCTTTGCTCCTAAAGGGCTTGGCCTTTCCTGGATGCCACTGTTGTACCAAATCCTCATTGCAGTCACCTGCTGACATCACCTGTTTCAGATGGAATCATCATTTGTTTTACTTTATTTATAGCCCTGAAATGCAACTGTCCCAACTTTTGTTGGAATGTGTTGCAGGAATCAGAATTGTTTATTTTGAACAAGGAATAAAATTGATGTCACATCAAATAATGTGTTGCAGGAATCAGAATTATGTAATACAGGACAGTTTTAATTTAGATTTTACATACTGTCCCAGATATTTCTGATTTGGGGTTGTAGTTGTTATGTAATTATGATTTTTTTGTATAATTTGCTTCTTCTGTCTTCAACAAACCCATTTGTAAGGTTCAATAAACATCACTGAGAACAGAAAAATAGCAGGTGCAAACAAAACAATGGCACCATCAGTACTTGACATTTCAAGGTGAAAACTAATTACAAGTCTACTGATGCATAGGGTTTTTATTTGGAGAAAAAGCTGCAGTGCATGACTTCTTCAATCTTCTATTTGCATTAACTCAAAGAGCAACAATTATTAACAGGACTTCAGCATTAAAACCTGTGCAAAGGGGCACTTTACCTACTATTGCTTAGTCACCTAAAACTGCCTCACAGAAAGTACAGCTTTCTTAAAGTGGTGGTAAAAATAAATGAAGTGTGTTTTCTTGCAAGGGTTGTGTGTGAGTCATCTAGTCCAGACAGGTACATCACTCAACACATTGGTTTACTAGCTGAACTGCCACTTGCACTAATATTTTGTACTTATTTGTTTTAGAAATAGGAAGGTTCTGAAAAAGGAAGTCAATCTGAGGGGCCTTGTGCTTTTAAAAAAATCAGATTTAGAAAGTACAACTGTACCAGTAACCACAACTATGACTTATGCCTGCAGTAGGGTTATTACTTATTATCTTGATTTTTTGGTTTTGGACATTAGAAATCAGTCGTTCATCCTCCTCTGCAGAGTGATTTGAAGTGGACAGCTACGTTAAATAGTGATGCCATCCACAAGAGGCACATTTTTAAGAAAATGAGTGCTGTTGAAAGGAAATTCAAACTCTGAGTGGGGGAATTAAAAATTCTGGCCTCTTGTTACCTTTTGGGAAATATGTCATTAAGTTCCCCATAACTGGCAAGTAAACACAACTAATGAGACAGTACAGACTGGGAAAACTGAAGCAGAGAAAGGAAAATCTATTCAAAACGCATACTAACGAGCACTGGGCGACACAAACCCTCACGTCATAAATATAAAACTGAAGTGCTCTGTCATCGTTCCAGCATCTTGTGTCCTTGGCAGAAACATGAGGATATTAATTCCAAAGTTCAACATTTAAATAAAAGACCAACGCAATGAGCTCCACACTTATGATTTGCATAGGAAACTGGCTTCCATCATAAGTTTGCTTTTGAGCCTTACAGGCTAAATAAAATAAGTTAACTGTGATGTGTTTAGCTCAACATTTTGTCTAGTATTAGGTGTGTGAAGCAGCACATCTTGCTTTAAACTTTTCAAATACATACAGTGATACTTTTTACTCTAGATGTGTTTGTCTAGCTTTTCAGAGTTGGTAATCAACCTCATGTGGGGCTACTTCTTAGCTTTCTACTTCAGCCTCTAACATGAGTTGATGCAACCTTCCACTCAGACTCAGTTGGACTAAGAAAAACAATATTTTGGGCCATACATGTCTGAGCAGGCATCATAAGAAATGCCTGTGCACATACAGTGTCTACACATCACATCCAGCTCAGAATTTGAAGCTGACTTGTGACTAGGAAGTCACAGATTTGAATGAAAAGAGTGGCTGGGAATATCTAGGCCAGGAAAATGTAGTGAATTCTCTGCTTTCTTCCTTCATTCAAGTAGGTGACCTTTGAGGGTGCTTTACTCCCAGTGGTTGTGGTTGAAGCTGCACAGCAGCCAAAAGCAGATGAGCTGATGGGAGCCAAGATGTCAGCCTTTCACATTAAAATATCTCCTGTGGGCCAACACACCAATTAATTAGTGTTAGCTCACAGTAAATACACACATAAAAAGGAAACCATTTCACTGTGTATTGAATTTCACTGTCTTTGTTTGATATGTTTTAATATAGGCATTTTAAATTTCAGGTAGTTCAGAAAAGGAATGATTAAAGGAAAAACCTCTCCCTACCACACCAACTTCCATTGTTGCACCAATTTTGGTGTTTTGTGGAGTATTTCCATCCCTAATTGGTCATACTATATGTAGTCAGTGTTGAGCTGCAATATTTGTAGCTCTTCTAGAGTGAAACCTCACTGCAGAAGTCAACATGAGCAAATGCGAATTTTCTGGAGCTGCACATTTAATAAAACTTGGCTTAAAATATCGTGGAAGGGGGGAAAGTTTTCCCACTAATCACAGATTCAATTCAGCAGCAGGTGTTGCAACCACCTTCTTGTTTTGAGTTGGGAGAAAACCAGCGTTTTCTTGGTCTGCTGATTGCAGTCACCACCTTCATATAACCCGCATCTAAATGAGACTGTCACAGAATCATACAATCGGAAAAATATAGCAGTTACACCAAAATGTTACAGTGGAAAAAAACCCCAAAGTGTTTCTAAGTGTGGATATTGCATTAATATTAAACTTTAAAAGTAGACAAACATTTTAAAATTCCTTCTGCTTCTGAGAGGTCACTCAGGTTCAGCTATAAAGTGCTACTGATCCTACAGGGGATCATAGACTGTATTGAAAAGATTCAAATAATAAGAATTATAGAGAAATAATAATTAAGAATTCCAGGTCAGTGATTGCACAGAGTACCGCTCCTTAATTATTACATTTAGAGGTCCTGGTCTTTCCACAGCAGGGTTAAAGTAGAATGAACAACAACAACAACTGTTGTGTGAAACACATGGGGACAAATCAGTGTTTTATGAGAAGATGGCTTTGTGTTTTGACCCCCCCCCCCCCTTTACATAAATATTTTAAAAAGGATGAAAGATGAATGATTGATGCTAATTAGAATCTGAGGCCTTAAAGCATCACTGCTAAACATGAAGACATATTATATTCTAAGAATTGAACATAATCAGTGTCTTGATTGTAAGCAAACGACATTAGGAATTTAAAATGGAGTGATCAATTCCACAACACACATTACAGTAATAAAAGACAGATGAAGATATTATGCTTGTATGAGTGTGTGTTAGGGATTCTGTGCTTCCAGTGCTAAACAGACATAAACTCATTGGTCTAAACTGCATATTAGTTTCTCAGGCACTTGTTTTAAGTCATAAAAAACATAAAAGAGATGAACTTGGCTCTGAATCACTGAAGGAACAGGTCACATCATTTCTTTATATTCCAGCATGAAAAAGATTCTTCATTTAACCGCAGTGTCTCAGCTCCACGGTGCAGCCATTTCATCTTCTGGGAACAAAAAAGGTGCACCACCGTGAACTGAGCTCTATTGCTTTGATCTCATTTGTTCACTTTATATCAGGCAAAAGGCTCTGAGTGTGTGTGTGTGTGTGTGTGTGTGTGTGTGTGTGTGTGTGTGTGTGTATTAAATATAAATGAGTCAGAAGCTCGATTCAGGGACTGGCCTTCTGCGGCCCAGTGAAGTTGTGCTGTAACGAGTCTTCTGAAGGGCCCCATAAGACAGTTTGTCTGTTATCAGGCTACGTGACGGTACAGGGGCTGTGGACATCCCATTACGATGCAGAGATGCTGTCCTACGCATGCTCTGCTCTGTCTTGGTGGGGATGTTGAAGGAGCTCTGGGAGCGTTTGATGTCAGTTGGGCTTCGTCCCACTTTTCCATTTGGCAGCTCATCACCCAGCTGACTCGAGCCGTTAGACTTGCCTCCTTCCACCCCAGTTCTGCCTCCTGCTGCTCCGTTGGGTAATGAAAGTCTAGAGAGGGTCCTTCTGCCTCCTTCCTCATCTCTTCCTGTCAGTGACTCACCATCCTTGGACCTCCTTGAGTCTTTATCCTTTTTTAGGAAGTTGCCCATTAAGAAGAAGGAGAACAGTCCCTCATTGTTCTTGGGCACTTCTCCTTTCCTGGTCTTAGAGTTTCCTTCATATGCACCATGGTGTTCCCTATCTGCCCTGTCCCCTTTTTGTCTCCTCAGGGTCCCGTCTTGCAGACTTGGTGTGCTGTAGCTAGGCTGGACTCCAGATCTTTTTGTCTCACTATCCTGGGAAGCTTTGGAGGAACTCTGCTTCCTGGGATCCTTCCTCCTGGTGAGGGTGTTACTGCTAGAGCTGCTGATGATATTTGAGGGCTTCTCATCTCTTGTCTCGCTTCCTTTGCTGTGTCTCAGGATGGCTGTCTTATCTGATGGCCTCCTCTGGCCCTCCGGGAACTGTGGAGACTCTAACGGCAGCTTACCTGCTGCTTTACCCAAACAACTTAGGCTCCCAGCACTGGAAGATGATCGGACATTGGCTGCGGCCTGGCCCTCGGCAGATTCCCTTGTGCTGCGTGGTTCGCTCATCAATGATACTATTGGGTCCTTTGTGCACCGGGGTCGCCGCCCAGATTCCAGGTACTGAACCAGCTCCACAGGGGCAGGATCTTGGACCGATGGAGGACCTGGGTCAGGTTTGCGTCTGTCCTTGGAGCCCAAAGACCAGCGTATAGGAAACACTTTGCTCAGGGTGTCCTTGGTCTTGCTTGGGGTTCTCATGCTCACACTGCGTCCCTGAAGACCCCTTACAAATGGTTTGCTGTCAAAACCCCCTAATAATTATAAAGAGAAGAAAACGTATGTTTTTACATTTGAGGAATGTATATAGATTTTATCTTGAAATATAAATATCAACAAACAACCTAAATGATTAGGGCAAATTACCTCTTTCTTCTTTAGAACCATTTTCAAGGAAGACGGGAGACTCTGGAGAGTCGGGTACAGAAGATGGACAGGTGGTAGAGAATCGAGACACCAGGCTGCCTCTCTTACTGTCCCCTGTCAGGCGGATTAGCCAGTGGTCTGACATCGATGAACTCGTGGAGCCTGAGGGACACGTAGAGAGAGGAGCGAGGTCAGAGGGGAATTATAAACCTAACAGAAACACTGCATGTCTAAACTTAAATGGAATGTACTCAAACACAAACATGGAAAAGGTTTTATTTTATGTAATTTAATTTTGTAATTTAATTCAAAAAATGAAACTCTCATATATTCTGGATTCATTATATGTAAAGCAAAATATTTCAAGCTGTTTTTTTGTTTTAATTTCAGTGTTTATGGCTTACAGCTCATGAAAATCAAAAATCCAGTATCTCAAAATATTAGAATATTTCACTTTGGGTTTTAGTAACTTACTAATCATAAGGTATAAATACTGTGTATTTCTCAACCACAATCATGGGGGAGACTGCTGACTGGACAGTTCTGCAGAAGATGATCACTGACACCGTCCAGAAGGAGGGTAAGCCACTCCTGTCAGTTACAATACTGGATTATAGCTATTCATGCATTACTGTCTAAGCAGCATTCAAATGTCATATCTAGCTTATAGCTGTCTTGGTGTTTGTCAGGGATAAATATTATGATGAGGCTTCTAAGTTTGAACCCAGCAGAATTTAACAGTATCACATGTTTACAGTTTCGCTTTAGTCACAAATCTTAATCACATTTTTGGAGCGGATCTGTGTTCTCTCCATTGCGTCTTCAAGTGGGTGCACGACGTTGCTGGGTCGTGATTAATGTATTCTTCCAGTGCTGACATTGGTTTGCTGTATGTTGCTGTTTAAGTAAAGCCAAATATTTTTTGTCGCCAGTGTGCAGGAGCAAAAGGCACTCAGCAGAAAAAATAGTTCTAACTGCGCTGTGGAGGAACCATGTGGAACATTAAGTAGAAAGTTTTATTTTGAATAAGCAAGAAATCAGAGACACACAGATCCAGGAGCTGTGTTGATCTACAAGCAAAAAATGGATGTCCAAAAACCCCTCCGTATCCTATAGTCTTATTTTAGCTCTTACAGTGCATCTAAAACCACAAGGTTTTATCACCTAACACATAATTTCATGCCATTTAATGTGCATTATATAATGATTCTGAGAGCACAGCTACAGTGAGTTGCTCTAGGGCATTTTAGGACACCAACACTCTTTGGTGTTGCTCTAACTCTGAACCTCCTTCTAGGCACAAAAGGTGGCAGTATCATAGCAACTCACAAAGAAGGAACATTAGTAACACAGGAATTTGAGAAAAGCCATAGTGATTGTTCGAAATGAACCTGGATGAAGTAGAAACTCATTTCTTTACTGAACCTCACTTCCTCTCTGATTTGTCCAGTTTTGTCCCTTTATTATATAGGAGATGGTGAATTTAATATTAGTGAATGATACTGTGAAAGAGGGATAAAAGATATTTGATAGGTTCTGGTGAGTCGTTGTCATTAGTCTGAGTCACTGTAACTGTGAAATATGAATGCACTTAATGTTAAACTTCAGAATTACAGGATACCTGGAAATGCATTTGAAGTATGGAGAACGCAAAGTCCCCACTGTGATGTTTTCACGCTATTTGTATTTCACAGAGCTATTTATGACTCCGTTCTACAGCAAAATCACTGAATTATTCCTGAAGAACTATACAGTATCTGCTCACATTAATAAACTGTGTGGATACACAGTATTGCTATTCTTACAATACACTAAACTACTGAACAACAGCATTCTCCATCTGATAAACATATACAGTACATATACTTTGCACTGATATAACATTTACAAATCACAAATAATTTTTCACAGTTGATTAATAAGACGTTTAAGTTTGTATGACATCCACATGTTGGTTTATGTGGCTGGTTGATGTTAAAAGAAAAACAGTGGATGTATAAAAGAATGTGTGTCAGAAAAGCATCTCAGCTGCAACTCTCAGATGCCTCTAGGAACTCTCAGAAGTGTTTTTGTTGTTGACAGGGTAAACAGCAGCAGATGAGGCAGTATTTTGCAGTGAAGCCACCGTATGCTCCTCCCTTCTAGTAGCCCAAGTTTCTCCTTAATGTTTACATACATAACAATTTTGTCCAACTAACAGGCATTTCCATAAAATTATGACCTCTTGTATCCAGACTGATGACAATCCAGTTTAGTAGTCATTTGACAGTATACAGTACCTCTGACAGAGCTACTGGCAGACCATAGAGGAATGGCATTGCGTCTCTGGTAGAAAAGGATGTAGGCTCCTCTGGTACACACTTCGTCCTCTGGCACCAAGTCTACGCTGCTGTCATCGTAGCTGTACCACTGGCCATCCACTGAGTTCCTACAGTAAGCTGTGTTTAAAAAAAATGAAAACAACTGTGATGGAGGAGCACCTCTGTGTGTGTAACTTCATGGAAATGACTTGCAACCAAAACCAACAATTCATTAATTTTACTAACAAGTGCTGTATACAATAAAACTGGGTGACTTTTTTTTTTTTATCATACTACCCAGTTCCATACCAGTGTAATGTCCTCCATGCATTCCCCCATGATGGTTACACACAGCATAAAGGTCATACTGGTAATCGTGGGGTAGGGTCATGTCAGCAGGTTGGTGGTGCTGGCCTGAGGGCTGCTTCCAAGAAGGGGGCCAGGGCCCCGGGTTCAGGTTCCTCATACTCTGACTCCTTTTCACGACATGGGGCGCCATGTCCAATCCAGTCAGGGGGAAACGCACCACAGTTGACAGCTTGTTCCTCCGCTCACCAACCTGTTTCAACATGTCTTAGTCTTATATACAGTAGATAATTGTACAAGTATGAAATATCACTCATTTTGAGTAAAAATCTATAAGAAGCTCAATTTTCTGAATTGATTAAACAGGTATAACATTAATGTGCAAATAAAATTCTAACAAAATAAGCATCATCATATAAAACACTTGTAAAAAATAAGATGTTTTTGAAATATTATAAAGTCAGAGCCCAGATAAGTAGAGCACCAGTGTCAAACAGGTCCATGTACTTTTGATTATTACCCTATCATCAGTAACACCTACAACAGAATTTTTGCATTTAATAGCTTTATATTTTAAAAATACCCCCTTATGACTTTCTGCTGCCGTCCTGGGTGTGGTCAGAAGCGAACAGACATATAATAAAGTTTTAAGCCATTAACAGAATTGCAGCAGCGTTTTTCTGCACAATGTGATTCAGTGTGGATTATCAAAGTATTTTGTACTGCTAAAAACCCTGTGCCCCTCCCAGGACTGGCACCTTACAAGGATGAAAAGGTCTGCAGAACCGTATGATTACTGAAACTGTGTTGAGAAGATCACTGGCTTCTGACTTCCTCTATGCAAAGCTGATCCTTGACACAGAGTCCACTGAATTCTAATGCAAAGATCAAGAAAAATCACACTGGGTCACAGGAGGTGAACCACAGCCTGAGATGGGAGTTTTAGTGCCTAGTGGTGAAGGGTTTTGGCTTATGGGGTTCAGGGATCAACACAGTGCCACTGTGAGAGTCAGAGGAAAGCCAATCATGCAGTGGACGAACATGTACAAGGACTTAACCTTGGCTACAGAAATGGTTTTTGGTTTGTGGAATCTCACCTCTCTGGGGGGAACAGAGGCCAAAGTTGTTCGGTGAGTGGTGCCAACTAGATAAACTTGTGATACTTTTGCCAAACTGCTGATGTGACTCAGTAATGTCTTTCATTAGACCCTCCCAGCCTCCTAAAAGTTCAACTCTTTGAAACTTTTTTAAACTTTAGAAAGTCTACTTCAGTGCTACAGAAAACTACAATTCTGTTTTCACAGGCTCTCCATGACAGGTCTACTGAGCCTCATATGAAAACTTGCTGAAGAAGACTAACCGACCTTTGCACATGGCTAAATAGCAACTGACAGTGGGACAAAACAACAGCACAATGCAAATGTATACACTCAAAAATGTATACACTGACTTTTTTTTTGAGTATATTTAATTTTGCTCCGTGCTGAAAACTGCTTGGAATCAGTCTGAATTGAACCACAGCTACGGAGAAGGCTACACAGAGACTATATAGTTCTACTGGGAGGTTTCAACACTAACATGGAAACTAAAGGGAAAGTGGAAGGACAGTGGTTGATAGGAACAGCTTATCTCACTTGAGAGAGGTCAGACAACAGCGAGGCAAAGCAACAGCAGGAGCTGGGAAACCAAGTAGAGAAGAGAAGTACTCAACTGTGCTTTCAATATGTGCTTTGCGTGGGAAAAAAACCATGGCTGGCATGTTGCAGGTAATTGCTAATTACTGCTAGTGCTTATTTACAACAACTTCCTGCAGTGTAGGAGAAGCTTTCTTGCCCAGACAAGGACATAAGCAGAATCATCACAGGCTTGTGGTTATAAAATTTAGTTTGTGCAGCCATGTCACTTTCACACTGGCTGTATGCCAGTCAGTAAAAATGCATAAAACAGCATCTTGTGTATGGGTATGTTAGATATTAGTAGATATGATCAGTCAGATAATTATTAGACATTAATGTGTTAGACTTTAATGTGTTAGTAATGCAGTTTAGTAAGATTCAAAGTCTGCGCTAGTCTGCCCTGTTTCAAGGTTAGAAGACAGTGTTGATTCTGAAATGTTAGCTACAGTTACCTTGACACCAATTATTTTCTTGTATTCATCCTGTGTTAGAATTATGTCTGAATGAATGTTTTAGTTACGCACCACGTGACAACACACACACACACACACACACACATCGAAATTCTTCATTTTAGTTATGACTAGTGCTCGAAGCATGTGGAGCATAAGATAAGAGAAGGAGACATCGGACTGTCTCTGTCTCATGCTGTTTTGTAATCTTTTTGTGTAAGGGGTTAGCCCTAAAACTTAGAAATGTATTAGGCTCTGTGTTTCCGGGATCTCCTCTCTACAGCAGCCAGAGTGTGTGTGTCTCTGGAGGAAGGAGCCACCTGGGTTGTGTTTTGTAATTTTACTTGTGGTTTAAAATAAATCAGCACTAAAATGAAGAAAGACGGACTCCTTCCTTATTCAGATCTGTCCAATAAAAGCACTGGGGTATTACAACTATTTGTGGCCGAGAAAAACTTGTTACCATTTCTGATTTCCCTAGCCGAGGCCACTGAGGTTATTAAAAAGTGTAGCAGTGGCAAAATGCTAGGGATGGATGAGATCCACATGGTGATGCTGAATGTTGATGGGCTGTTGCAACTTGCACACATCTTCAATAATGCACACAGGTCAAGCACAGAACCTGTAATAGCTGGGCTGCTAAATGTATTTTTTTTTAAAAAGGGGGGCCAGAGGGTATGCTTCAAAGGAGGGGAATCACATTTAGCAAAAGGTGCTGGGAAGATGACTGGCTGTTGTCGAAACTCAGATTCAGCGGGAGCTGTGCTATTGATTTTTTTTTTCTTTTGTAGTTGAAATTGTCTAAGGCAATAGTCTGCCCTGCAATATCATGTCACTTTTATTTCCCTCTTTGTCTTTTATTTCCTTTCACAGCACACCCTACAGTTCAACATATCTGATGCAGCATATAAGCATTTCCTTTTATTAGGTTGCTGTTAAAATTGATTCAGTTGTTGATTTTGTTTTCTCCTTACAGAGATCAAGAGCACAATATAAACACACGTTATATAGACAGTATAGATAACATTCAAATAGTTTTCCTTTTCTTAAACCTATATTAAATGATGTTCTGACCACTGAGATAAGAGCAGAACTTCATAAATGGCTTTATTACTTTAACTGTTGTTATGGCTAATGTGACAAAAAAGCAGAAAGAGTAACATTAGCTTTGGTTTGGAGTTTTTGACTGCCAGATAAATGTAAGCCTGATATTCGCTCTCTTGTTTTAATCTGCATAAACAGCTGAAGGACATATCTGGTTCTTTAGCCTTGAACACTATATTGATCAACTGGTGGCTAACAACTGGTCTGCCCGCTGTTTGGTGCTATTAAGGTACAGTACACTGGGTTTATCTGAGCTGTGAGGAAACAAGGTCGATAGGAGTGGTGAAACTGACTCGCTGAGCTGAAAACTGGCCCCACTGCAATTTGATGAATTTGTAACAGAAAATGGTGATTAATGCATGTTATTAAGAGGTATCTAATTTAATGTAAGTTTAATTAAAGTACTGCTTTTTTTCACCAGAAGCCTCTCTACTACCTGTCGGAAACGCTTGAGATGGAGGATGAGTATGTCAGGAAGAGTCCACAGGCTCATCTTCACCATGCCCTGCTGAAGCTGCTTACAGTGGGGACACTTCCAGGCATCGTCCGGGGCAAGCTGGAATCAGTCAGTTAAATGGTTATACAAACTCTGCTCTCATTAACTGATTGAAACCCTGTGAGATCAAAACTTGTCAGATTTTTTTTTTACTGTAATCATTCCTGATAAAAAAAAGGAGTTTTAAATAATATGCCCTTGTTCTAGTTATGAGGCTATACACACTGTTATAATCTTATCTTTCCATTCTGATTTTTAAAATCTTAAAAATTGCACTTTAAGACTCCTGGAATTCACTGAAAGAGAAGCTGAGTGAACCTTTTACATATTTTTCAAGAGCGGAGTTAGTTCTACTTGACCACATAGAACCTTTTCTACTTGCTGCAAGGTTTTAGACTGGGGGATAGAGGATTAAAGTGTAAGGGTCACGTGTGACGTACATAACAAAAACACCCCCCCCCCCCTTTGCTTACCATATACTTGTATATCATGGATCAGACACAGGAGAGATGCCTTCAGCCCAGTGTTTGCTCTTTACACACCCCAGAGGGATAATGGGTGACATCACAGTAATAATTCTATTAAAATCAAATGACTCCAGTCATGAATATAGCCCTAATAGATTCTAGCAAAATCCTGCTAGAATCACTTTTTAGTTAACCCCAGTCTACATCTCTCCAGTCATGGTAAACCTAACATTTATCATTGCTATGGTTACAGGCATATCACCAAGGACTAATTGTCCCCCAAAAATGCTTTGCTCCCAAAACGCTAGTACAAGATGACCAGATTCAGGAATCAGGAAATGAAACTGCCTTGCTCATGCTGGTGTGTCATTGAACAAAACATAATTAATGCATGAGGGAATGTCATAATGTAAAATGTCGCAGGCTTCACAATCATGTCTGTCAGCACCAATGTGCTGCTTTGGTGTCCTGCAGGCTTCAGTGGGCAGTGCAATCACTTCCTACAGCTCTACAGTACCACTTACTGAAACAAATCCTTGTTCTGCTACAGCACGCTGCTGATGAGAGAAATAGCCAGAGTACAATTGTGTGTTATGATTATTTCCCTTCACTTTAGTTCCTTTCATGTATGGCATACAGAGTGCTGTCTTGCATATCTGTAGAAGGAGAAACCAGGGAAGCGTACGTTTTGTAAATAGAGGCAACCTTTGAAATCGCTGTCATCTGAAGTTACAACAGATACTAATGATGCCTGCACAGCCGGACAAGCATTAATGGTCTTTATTTGCTGGCATCTTTACAGTGTGGGCATGTATAAATAATGCTATGCTACTGCCCAAAGGACAAAGATGCCGCTGTCACTGTTGTTGTGGTTATTTTGTACTGATGTTCTGTCTCTTTACAGAATGGAAAATGAAATGGCAGTCTCTAAATGTAGTCTCTTAAAAATAATAAGTTTTAAAACAGGCACAAAAAAACCCATATTTAGCCAGAGTACACATCTAACCTGAAGCCATTTTATTGCTGTGTGAGCACAGAGAAAAATGTCAGTGGCATTTGTGTGCAGGGCTCAATGCTGTGGGTTGCAACAATAGTGGTATGTAATTATAACATCATAATCAATAAAAAGAAAAGTAGTGTCCAACAATAACATAACCAACAACCCACTACATTGCTCTAAGTTAACTGAAGAAAATTACAAACTCCAGAAAAATAATATTTAAACTTTATAAATTCCTATAAAATACACCACACACAACAATAACACTACCGGGGACTAAATGGGAAAATGATTTGGCTTTTCTGTTGTCCCGGTAAACTAATTCAAATCGGTATCCTTCAAAGTTGCACTCTATCCAAGACAAATTTCCCTTTTTTGTTTTCTTGATTAGTAGTTCCATGGCAAGGCACCGGGGGTGGATGAGATCCGCCCTGAGTACCTTAAGTCTCTGGATGTTGTTGGGCTGTCTTGGTTGACACGCCTTTGCAACGTCGCATGGCGGTCGGGTACAGTGCCTCTGGACTGGCAGACTGGGGTGGTGGTCCCTCTTTTTAAGAAGGGGGACTGGAGGGTGTGCTCCAACTATAGGGGGATCACACTCCTCAGCCTCCCCGGGAAAGTCTATGCCAGGGTACTGGAGAGGAGAATTCGACCGATAGTCGAACCTCGGATTCAGGAGGAACAATGCGGTTTTCGTCCTGGCCGTGGAACACTGGACCAGCTCT